TGAGTCGGATGAGAATTCAAAAGATAGGATTGAGAGAATTCTTACAAGAAAAAAGAAGCACACTTCAATTGATCAACACAAATAAACACTAAAATCAACCATGATCACAAGGATTGATGACGTCCTTTAATTTTGGAAAAGTGACTCCTTCCAACAGTTCATCAATACCAAGCCTACGAGCTTCATCCAGTTCAGCTTGGTTTTTGACCAAAACCATTCCAGCACCTACACCAAGGCTATTGATCGATAAGCCATTTGATAAAAGACACTCTCGTGATCTTGGGATCAGAATCATATATTTACTTGTCATTAAAAAGTTATATGATAATTCTTTAGGTCGAGTATGAGGTGAGTTCTCTTCAGAAGCAAGGTGACGAAGATGATCGATCATAGAGTCCAACATCGTCATGAAGTATGTTCCCAGAGTAGCTTCTGTTTCCTCGTCGTCAGGTTTTGAACTTAAGCATGATGGGATTGCGCAAATAAAATGTGCATATCCTAGCTCTTTTACGTTGTAGACGTCACCTAATGAAGCAATAAAATAGAAGATCAATATCAGATGAACGTGGAAGCTAAATGATTATCATTCTGATGAGTTGAAAACACTCAAACTCGCCTAACTTCGCAGGGGCCGAGCGCGCGATGAGCTCTCCAAACTTATTTTCACCAGCCTGAGCAGGGATGAATTGAAAGCTGGTCAAGTTTCAAAGGTCAGTACTTGCACCTCCGGATAATCCATTTATGTTGTAACGTACTGTTTGTGGGGTTGACTGAGCCATAGATCGAGTGGTATGTGATGGGTTATGAGTTTTCATCTCGAGTCGCCACATCTTTTGAGGAATATACTGAGATGGTGTAACAACTTACGATGCTCCGCTGTTTGGACCGCAATTATAAAAAGCCAGCCATTCGGAAGTAGGATCGGAAACTAGGGCTTGTTGAAGCAAGACGTAAATAGCTACTAAATCCTCAGGTGTTGGTGGAGTCTTCTGAGATTTGTATTCTGAACATAGGATAGGCAGGTGATGTTCATCAGGATAAGTTAAGCAAGGATTTCATTTCGATATCACGATTTCGGCTAACCTTTGGTCACTAAGAGGAAATGACGAGGGACAACACAGAACTTATTTAGCAAAACCACGTAACCCTCTTCTCCTTCGCTATCCTCAGACTGAGAAATCAACAGTTCGGGAATGTAAGGAGGAGCAAATGGATCGACCGTATGTGAAGGTACTTCCGAAGACGATATCGAGACCGGCTTCTTTGCCAGCGAAGGTGCATACCTTAACTCACACTAATTGACAGAAAACATGTTATGTAAACGATTCTAGAAATCCCTCTTATTGAGGATCATTGAAAACGAAACCTTTGAGAATACCAACCGGGACGCCAGCCCGTGAATCAAGATGAAACACCTCGGTAGGTATATAGACCAAGTTTTTTGACTCTGATGCACTCTCGTGTCTGCGCTGCAAATCGCTGATAAAATTGGGAAAGTGCATCGTAGAGCGATGGAGAAAGAAGCAATTGGGTGTATGCGGTGACCGGTTGTCTCCCTGAAGGGGCGATCATCCGAAAGGTCAGTCAATCCCCTTCTAATCACATACCTGTACAAGCCCTGTAACCGTCTGGACTCTGGAGTCTGGAACCGGTTTTAGGCCATGGTCTTTTGCTTTGAAAAAGCCATTTTGAAGGGCGCGTGCAATTTGGAGACCGCATTCTTGGTGATGGTGCGGGAACATCACCCTAGCAATCAACACATAGCCATCTACAGTTGGGAATGTTATGGCTGAGGTGGCTTGGCACCGTAGCTAGCTAGGTTTCAGCCCAGTCTCACCCGTTTTCGGTTTAGCCCAGGTGGAAGATCTAGGAAGTTTAGATCAGGGCTGGTTTCACTTTCTCTCTTAGCGTCATTGTTTGTAACGCCTTGATGAAACTTGTTTCGTATATAATGTTCTCTATTCTTCTCTAAACTTGTGTTTCTTCTCTATTGTCACAAACGTGTTTGTTTCGGTAGATTTCTTACTAACACTAGTTTACTAGGTAGAACTTTATTTCTCTTTCATGCAATTGTCACAAACGTGTTTGTTTCGGTAGATTTCTTACTAACACTAGTTTACTAGGTAGAACTTTATTTCTCTTTCATGCAATTGTCACAAACGTGTTTGTTTCGGTAGATTTCTTACTAACACTAGTTTACTAGTTTGCGTTTCATCTGTGTCCATCTCTACAGGTTATGAGCTTTAAGGCACCCGAAGACTCAGATATATCCTTTGAATCAGCGCAATCAGATCCTACCGTGAACGACAATCAAAATTCTCTTGACAATCAACAACTCATCGCAAATCCTTACGCAACCACCATCGAACCACTTGACCCGGAATCCATGAATCCGGAAATGGAAACTCAGGTTGCTGGAACTCAGGCATCGAACAATCCTGGAGTGAACAATTCCCAGAATTTGCAACAAATCCTTAATCAACAATCGATTACGAATGCTCCTCAGACTTTACATCAGACTATCACCAATGTGTTCACCATCACCGGGAGTGAGAACACTGATTCGTGGATCGTCAGGACGAAGAACTGTCAAGTAAAATTGGCTAGTCTTGCTTCTTTGGCCTCCGACGGTTCGAATTTTGATGTATGGGACTCTGATATCCAGGAGTACCTTGAAACCATGACTGGTTGTATCGACTATCTCCACCCAGCTGCTATACCCACTGTTGCTGGATGGCGTGAGGACATCGCTCGAGGTATCAATGGTTTATTCCATTGGACCGTGGACAAACATATTGGTATGCGTCTTAAGGATCATTCGCCTGTGCCATCTGCACGTTACGCCTGGCTTAAAAGTCAATTTTCAGGTCAAACATTTGCCGGACGAATGTCATTATTGGATCAATTCACCACAATTAAATATGATCCTTCGACTACAACTTTGGATGCTCATGTCCACTCGGCTTCGACCTTACGTAGAAAGTTGGAAAGGTCTGGGATGGCCATTCCGGACAACATCTTTGCTGGTATTCTTCTTAACAGTGTCCCCAACGATTTTCCTAACATATCGAACACTTTTGAAGCAATGATTATCAACAATCCGGCATCCACCGTTAATTCTTCGGCTATGATTCGAGCTATTGGTGCTGCCGACGTTGCTCACAGAAGAGGAAATGTCAGTGTGGCTGATGGTTTAAGTGCTATGGTCTCAAAATCTCCTAAAGTTAAGGTTATTCGTTGTTATTATTGTAAGAAGACCAGACACACTAAACCGGAATGTCCGACCCTAAAGGCTAAGGACAAGAAGCGATCAACTCCAACAGCTTCTATTTCCGATGCACGAACTGTGGAACCTCAGTTCGCGGACATCGACTTCTCAGGGTGCGTGGATATTCGCCATATCGTAGTCTCACAACTAGATACTGATATCACCCCCTCCACCATTATTTTCGACACCGGCGCCACTCACCATGTTTTCAATAATCGCTCTCATTTCATGTCTTTGCGTTCTATTACACCTTTACCAGTTAGAATGGCCGATAATTCTTCTTCTTCTTTTATTACTGGTATTGGTCGCGTTAGAATATGCAATGCAACAAACTCGAATGAGTTTTTGGATGTTGAAAACGTTTATTATTGTGAGAATCTTCGCCATAGTCTTCTGTCAGGGATTCAACTTGAAGAGGATGGTATTTACTTTCGAAACTCAAAGAATGGTATTGAACTCTGGAGGAACAACTCAAGAGTTTTGACAGCGCAGAAAGCAGGAAGGAAGTGGATTTTGAATGCTGTTACACATCCTGTTGAGGCTGCGGCTGTGTTAGGTGACTTCATGCTGTGGCATAGAAGACTGGGTCATGTTAATGACAGAACACTTTTGAAACTTATTCGTGATGGCTCATGTGTAGGGTTACCAGAAAAATTGACTAAAACTGTCCCCTGTGAAGACTGTGCTATCTCAAAATCAACTAAGACTTCAACCATTGGACCTTCCTTAATTTCTTATGATGGACCACTACAACTAGTAGTTGCTGATCTTTGTGGTCCTTTCCCGGTTAAAACCATTTCTGGATCTGAGTATTCTTTAGAAATTCGCGACGTGTTTTCAACCTGTATGTGAACTTATCTTTTGAAGACAAAGAACGAGGCAGCAAATCAAATCAAAATTTTCATTGCTGAAGCCGAACGAAGAACTGGTCATAAATTCATTCACTGGCGTACCGATGGTGGGGGGGAATTTGTGAACAACTCGTTGAAAGCTTACTTCTCTGAACGTGGTATTAAAGTTCAAAATTCCTTACCTTATTTCCATGAACAAAATGGATCGATCAAACGTGCTAATTGTACTGTGCAAGCAGGTATGCGTGTTCTTTTACGTGATTCTGGTTTGCCCAGGAAATTTTGGGGCTTTGCCATCATCACGGCAACTGATCTTCATAACAAAACGCCAAATTCAAATACCGGATCCAAGACCCCGACGGAATTGATGTTTGGTTTTGCACCTCAGGTAGATCATTTGAGGATTTTTGGAAGTTGGGCGTTTGTTCATGTGCCGGTTGAGAAAAGAAAGAAGTTGGATGACAGGGCGATCAAGTGCCGTTTTGTGGGGTATTTGGAGAACAGTAAGGGGTGGCGTTTCTGGAATCCAACCACTGATGAATTTATTGATTCAGCGCATGCTCGTTGGTTGGATGAAAAGCTAACAAGCAAAGTTATTCCTGAACAGAACGTCAATACACCTCTCGACGAAACTTCTCTGAACTCAATCTTAGCCTCAGATGACTCGATCACATCTCATGAAGAACTTCGACATCTTTTTGAATCACTTTCTGTCACTTATTCACTTGATGATCCCTCTTTTACGGAAACTGTTCGAGAACAAGATCTGAACATTGATTTACTCCATATGAAGGCTGCTGGAATTGCTCAAAAATTACCTCATAGTTATCAGGAGGCTGTGAATGGTGAAAATGCTGTGGAATGGAAGGAAGCGTGTGTGAAAGAAATTGATATGTTGGTGAAATTAGGTGTTTGGGAAGAAGTTGAATTGCCACCGGGTCAAAAGACAGTGTCAAGTAAGTGGGTGTTTGCAAACAAAGTCAACTCAGATGGTGAGATCATCAAACGAAAGGCAAGATTCGTCGTCAGAGGTTTTACTCAACGAGAAGGTCTCGATTTTTCTGAAACATTTTCTCCGACTGCAAAGTTTACATCTCTGATGATTATTTTTTCAATCACTGTTTACCGCGGATGGCATATTCGGGGTTTTGACGTTGTCGCCGCATATCCTCACTCTCCAATCGATGAAATTATCTATGTTAAACCAGCTGAAGGAATTTCAACTCGCGCAGCGAATTGGGTTTTGTTACTCAAAAAGGCTTTGTATGGAACAAAACAAGCTGCTAGATGCTGGTGGAAGCATTTTTCATCAGTACTGTCTGGAATGGGATGCAAATATTGCATTAATGACCAGAGTCTTTACGTCTTACACTACAAGAACGACATTGCACTTCTTTGGATACACGTCGACGACGGGGTGATCTGTGGATCTTCTTTGAACATTGTTAACTTCATCCATGAATCTTTGCTGAAAACTTTTCAAATCACTTGGAACGATAATTTGGAGCAGATTGTAGGAATTAAAATCACCTACAGGCCCGACGGTATCTTTCTCTCTCAACCAACTCTCACGTCGAGCCTCCTGGAATCCACCGGTTTTATCACTTCCAGAACAGCGACTCCTATGGTCGCAAACTTACAACTTGAATCATCCAAGAAAGATGCAATTGGGATCAATTCTTCATCGTATTTATCTATTCTTGGTTCCTTGTCATATCTTGCGATTGGGACAAGACCAGATATTTCATTTTTGGTTAATTATTTGGCCCGTTTCTCTTCAAGACCAAATGAAAAGCACTGGTTGGCTCTTAAGCATTTACTGAGATATGTTAGTGGTACAAAGGACGATGGAATTTATTTTAGGAAGATGGATCAAGAGGTGGATTTGGTTACTTATTGTGATGCTAATTGGGGTGGGGAATTTTCTAGATCTACTCATGGTTTTGCGGTATTTTTGTTTGGTAATCTCATTTCTTGGGCATCAAGGAGGCAAAGTTGTGTAGCAACCTCGACGTGCCATGCTGAATATATGGCTTTAGGAGTAGCGTCTCGGGAATCAATTTGGATTCAAAATTTATTGGAAGACATATTTAAAAAGGTTTTCATTACTACAATCAAATGTGATAATACTGCTGCTATTAAAGTTGCGCAGGACTTACATCTTACGAAGAGATCACATCATGTTGCTCGAGAATTTCACTATGTAAATGAGCAAGTCTTCGACGGGAATTTGAAAATCACTTGGATAGATGGCCCTAATCAAAAAGCAGATATACTCACGAAATCTTTAGGCAACATTATCTTTCAAATTCATAAACATAACATCTGCATGTCATAGAAGTATAAACCTCTAAAGGTTGAGGGGGGGTGTTATGGCTGAGGTGGCTTGGCACCGTAGCTAGCTAGGTTTCAGCCCAGTCTCACCCGTTTTTGGTTTAGCCCAGGTGGAAGATCTAGGAAGTTTAGATCAGGGCTGGTTTCACTTTCTCTCTTAGCGTCATTGTTTGTAACGCCTTGATGAAACTTGTTTTGTATATAATGTTCTCTATTCTTCTCTAAACTTGTGTTTCTTCTCTATTGTCACAAACGTGTTTGTTTCGGTAGATTTCTTACTAACACTAGTTTACTAGGTAGAACTTTATTTCTCTTTCATGCAATTGTCACAAACGTGTTTGTTTCGGTAGATTTCTTACTAACACTAGTTTACTAGTTTGCGTTTCATCTGCGTCCATCTCTACAGGGAATGGGTCTCATGGCGTTTGGATACTTGTTGTATCTGGATCACGCTAAACAGCCGCAGAGGGCAGGCTTAATTTTTCATGTGAAACAAGCCTGATCTGAACTAAGCACACAACTGAACTAAGAAGAGTAATTAAATAGATGAGTTCTGTGGGTGGTTAGTGCGTCTGACGCTCCTACCCTTTTTACAACGTGAGATTGAAGATAGAGAAATTAAAAAGAATATGGCTTTAAGGTCCTTTGTACAACTGATTTTTTATTGATTGAATGAATACTAAGTAGATGTAATAATTTTTAAATTTCTAAAAGATTTTTTCACGTAAATTAAAGTCAAATAGTTGGGCGGGCGGGAGGTAAATAATTTATCTACTGAATTTATTTTTGTATGTGAAAAAGTATCAGGATAGTGAAGATGATGGAGAATAGAGAATACAATTCTGAGGATGAAATTCTCTTGAGTCGAAGTGGGAATTAGGGAATTGATTCATCCTATTCATCCAAGACTTCTGTGACGACATTGACAACATCTTTTATGAGAGTAATGAAGATTATTGCAAATCGTCTCAGAAGATTGGAGGTGGTGTGAGTGACCCGACTACTACACTATCCGAACTTTTTCCCCGACCCATTCCCATTCTTCAATACTGCGTACCGACTACTAGGAATGGGTCTCATGGCATTTGGATACTTGTTGTATCTGGATCACGCTAAACAGCCGCAGAGGGCAGGCTTAATTTTTCATGTGAAACAAGCCTGATCTGAACTAAGCACACAACTGAACTAAGAAGAGTAATTAAATAGATGAGTTCTACCACCCTTGTAGTATGTAGAGTAGTGATGGTAGGGTTCTGAGTAGTGATGTAGAATGAGGTCGATTTCTTGAAGAACAAATGATGGTGTTGAACTCTATATGCTTTTACAAAATGCTGTCTGTTCAGTTATGAAACGCTCATGTCAGCTGTCTATGACTGAAGACTGTAGTCTCATTCAACGAGAAGGTGACTAACAGTATCCAAATGTGGAGGTTTCCGACACATGGTGATGTAGGTTCCTTTAGGTAACCTATGATTGGAACCTGCATGAAGAATTTGCAGATGTCAGCGTTTTAGTTCTACAAACAAGGATTACTGTCTTAGATGTAAAACTGACTCAACGCGGCCCATGACTGTGTTTGTCTAATGGGTTGGTCACTTTTTTCTGGCCCACGGCTGTGGCAAAAGGAGAGGAAGTGTGAGAAAATTAGTGTTTTATTCATCCACTTTGAAAGAATCTGAAGATTCTTTGATTTAAGCTTATCAGCTTATGAAAAAATGGAGGCTTACGAGCACTGCTCCAGGAAATTGTATGTGTTTTCCCGTGGTAAAACCAGCTGCTTGAGTGATGCGTTGAGTTTTGTTAAGGTTCAAAAGAGGATGGGTTCGAATGTATGTGCGGAAAGCTTCTGAGGACCATCGTCCTATGCATTGAATCGTGTCCATATCCATACCATTCTGAGTGTATGCGGTGGCACCTCCAGCACGTAATGAATGGCCTGATCTTGAGCTTCCGAAGATTTCTTTGATGCGGCTCATGAACCAGCTTCTCGTGGGTTGCCGGCCGTTTTCTCGAAGGAGCCAGAATGGGTGGATAGGAAACCTTTTGTCTCGTGCCTGCGTGTAGTTGAGTAGAGTTTTGATCGGACAGGTTGAATCATTTGGTCTGCTAACTATCGCAACTGGAGTACCCTTGAAGTGTGGGTCCTCTTTGTGGTAAGGGAGGTTGTAGCAAGCGACTGATCCGCATAGAGATATGACTAAAGATGAACGTCTGATTGATTTCCTTTTGTTTTGCAGGTTCAATGTGTCCGGTATTGTAAGTTCTCCTAGACGATGTAGTCCTGAAAAACCTAACGCTAGGATCGTGTTGAATAAAGCGTTGTCGAAGGATGAGTTGAAGTAGTTGGCGGAAAGAAAGATGTCGTATATAGTAAAAGCGTTTGCTTGTACTACTGGTTTTGAAAAAAGCTTTTGACATCCTCGAAGTGATTCTTTCACTTTTGGTGATTGTCGAGTGATGAGGACGATAGGAAATTTTTCACACATGCTGTAGGAGATGCCAGTGAGATATTTACCGACCGTGTCAGGGTTAACTTCTCTTGAGATAACTGAAACAAAATGGCACAGGTTTGTTTCACTCGGGTAAAGGCGAATGTGATAGTCTTTACAAAATTTTTCGAATCTTCTGTAGCCCGAAGTGTATTTGGCTACAGTTGACTTTTTGAGGCGATTTGCGATGTCTGATTTGTTCAGAAGTTCTCGATCTTTGAAAGATAGTGGAGCTGTGGTGATCTGTTTGGTTCTAGTCATGATGAAGTCAAGTGAAAAATTAAAAAATAGTTTTTTGGAGTTATGATTTTTTATTTTATATGGAATTATACACAAGTGATAAATCAGACTAGAGCAGGAAGAGAACGGTCTTGATGGCCGCCGATCAGGATAGAAGGATCTGGAGAGAACGTGCGTAGATGAAGGCGAGGGACCATTGAGTGAGCAAGATCAAACTGTCCTTTTGATAGGGCATCTGCAACTCGGTTGTTCTGTCTAGGTACAAATCGCACTTTAACATCAATTGGATGATTCAGCATTAAATTGATGGCATATTTGAATAAGGATCTTGCTGCAGACGTTGGTCGGTGTGATGAGAAAAGGTACGAGACAGACTCTGAATCGGTGAAAATGACGGTTTTCGAGGCTTTAAAATCTACTGCCATTTTGACTGCTGAGACAACTGCCAACAGTTCCGCCCAGTAGCTGTTACGGGAAGGCGGTGGTAAGGAACAGCTCCAGGCACAATCGTTGGAAGGTTGCCAGAAACCAAAACCCGTTGGGCAGGCTTCTGTAAAGAACATGCAATCGGCATCAGAAAGAGGCCAATGCAGGTGTTTCAGAACTCGACGACCTGGCCATGCTTCGAGAGAATCCGCTAGCCAGTTTAGGTCGTCAACATTCATGCGATTGAGTGGGATGTGGGCGTTTCGGAGTGATTTTCCTGCAATCTTGTCCCATGACGATTGTAAGGCCCATCTTCCTAAAGGGAAGATATTCAGGCCCCAATTTGCCCAACCAGTAATGCGTTGCCATTCAATTAAGGGATGTGAAAGAACAGAGGTGAATTCTCGTAAAGCTACAATCAGAGAAATGTGTTTCCCTTCAGGGAGGGAGATTGATACTTCTTCACAGTTAACTGAATAGCCTATGATATCCAGTGTACTTCCAAAGACCTGTTTTTCCCATGCCCATGGGAGATTGATAAAGTCGAAGATTGAAAGGAATTTTGCTTGGTTCAAAGGGATTGTTCTACCTTTGAAAGATACCATGTCTGAAGCTAAGCCTATGCCCCAAGAGTCGTCCATGTATGCGTTGAGGTCCGTAATATTGAACTCGTAATAGGTGATCCAAAGAATTAAAGAGAAAAAGGCGCACCATAATTTCGGGGAACTAGAGCAGCCGAAATTTACATTTCGATCTGCATGGAAGGCATTTGTGATTCTAATGATCTGTCGGACCTGCCATTGACGGGAGACTGGGAGGTTACGAAAGGCTGCGTCTACGTCAGATTTCCACAGAATAAATTTATGCTTGCCGAAGTAATGGTACAGCATGAAGGGTATGAAATAAGGGATCCCGTCCAAGTCGATTTGTATGTCTTCTTTGTTAATTAAATTGTTAGGGGATGGATTACCAAAGGACATGTTCGTGCACATACAAACTTTACCTGATGATGGGTTTGTAGCTAAACATAAAGGTGACACTTTCATACCGGGTAGTAGGGTATGAAAGGGGGGAGAGAAGCGGTTCAGAGAAATTTCTTTGTCCCTAGTTTTCGTAAGAACTTCATCGGCTTCCGGACCTGAGGCGTGGTTCTCGTTGAAGACTGTTTCTTCTGACGGCATTGAAGATAGCGGCCAGAAACCTTCAGTAAGACCAAGAATTATAGAATCTACGAAGGGTTTGTTGGGGTGATTTTTTAATAGGGAATGTAAATTTTTTATATTAATGGAACAATTTATCTGGAAAAGATCTGGTCTCCTTTTGATGGCATAGTCTGCTAAAGGATCAGATGAAAGAGGAGGAGCGGACGGAAGGGGATCTGCGTGGATAGAGGAATCGACAGCAGCAGAAAAACCTTTACTGAGAACGTCGATTTCTAGACCTCTTAAAAAAGTTCGTGCGTTGGGCTCATTTGTGAGCGACGCTTCCCTGATGATTTTCAAAACATCCATCTTTGTTGCATACCCCGTGTATTCTGTCGCAGTCAGCGTCACTGAAGGGACAAACACGAGCGTTCCAATTGTTGCAAGGCTGATCAGCCATAGGCAAAGTGCTGGAATCTCGAATCTTGTATTTTGGTTTGACACGTCTACCTCTAGTTTTCTTGGCAGAGGAGCTGGACGTGGATTGACGAGGAGAGGGGGCTGCTTCGATAGCGAGTCTAGTAGGTTGAGGAGCTGTCTGAGATGTTGTATATTTTGAAGAAGGGATAGCTGCACGGCCAAGTTTGCTCGTGGAACTATAGAGAATTCGATTATCAATGCCTTTGAGGGATTTATGTTCATAATCCCCCCAAACAAGGCTGGGTCTGGAAGCAAATTCTTTGCGTAGTTCTGCGTCGAAATCACGCACATCCTCCCAATGGACTCTTGCTTGAAAAAGACCTGGAAGAGAGAGGATATAGTCGAAATAAGCTTTAATTGATAAAGCTGCAGGGGGAAAAGCAGCGATGTAGGCATGCTTAAGAACTGCAAGAAGATTCTGCCAATGGTTATTGTCAGTAATCTCTTTTGGCGCAGAACCTTCAACGTTTTTGAGGTCTCCGTCTGCATTGATGCGAAGACGACTTTGAGGAGGGTCCGAAGAAGCCACAGCACCATAGAACTTGCGAAGATCGACGAAGTTATATTTGAGGAGGTCTTTTGTGAGCGAGTTTTGCCAGTTCGCAGGACGGTTTTTACAGGAATTGAATGCGCTGACGTGGTTCTTAATGTCGGATTTGTAAAGGAGGGCGATTTGGTTAACCTGGTAAGAAACTGGAGAGAATTCCTCAGGTACGAGATGTTTGTTGTCATCCATATACGGGGCAGATAGAATGGCACCAGTAATGGGACCAGACGAAGCTGGGATTCCAGATATAGCTGGTGCTCCAGATACAGCTGGTGCTGGGTCAGAAGAAAGAAAACCAGAATAGACTGGCGGTCCAGAGGTAGCTGGTGCTGGCAAAAACTGATGAGACGAGGAGTGGGAGGAAGAAACCGAAAGGTTTCTTTTCCTTTTCCCTTTGTCAATCCTTTGAAAGATTGGTAAGGAGGGAACCGCGGGTTGTTTGATTGACGAGCGAAGAGGAGCAGGCCGTTGGGGTCGAGCAACAGGATAAGATGAACTTTGACGAAAACGCGGACTGTTAGAGAAGGTAATTTGGTTGAGAAGGGAAGGACCAGGAACAGGTTGGTGAACTTCAGCCACTGGACTTGGTGTGCAAACACCAACAGAAAAAGCTTCTGGTGCTTGCTGAGGAGGGGGTGGAGGACCTTCTCCCGAATTAGTAACAGGGTTGGAAGGGAACATAGACAAGTCCTCGAATCTAGGAGGTGAGGGCGCAATAGGCCTGTTGAAAAACCCTTTGATAACCCCATAGACATCCAACGACAATGGAGGAGGAAGTTTTTCACTAAGCACGATTGGAGGCATGCATTGTGGATCTTGATTCTCGGGCCATTTGTAAGTAATGGGATACCGAGGTCTGTTCGCTCTAGCGTCCAAGTTGATCGCGGCCCGAGCAACGGCAGACCAGTGATAGAGGAAATCGGGGTCCTGATAATGGTAAATCGACACAATTTGAGTGCGAAGTTGTGCCATGGAGGTGTTTTTACTACCGCCGGTGTCATCGTAGTGCGCAAGGATTTTATCAATATCGTCAAAGATGGCGGTAGAATCATTTGTAAGATTGATGCTCTCAGCATTAGCTGTCATAATAAATAGCGAGAGATATTTTATATAATAATTTATCTACTGAATTTATTTTCGTATGTGAAAAAGTATCAGGATAGTGAAGATGATGGAGAATAGAGAATACAATTCTGAGGATGAAATTCTCTTGAGTCGAAGTGGGAATTAGGGAATTGATTCATCCTATTCATCCAAGACTTCTGTGACGACATTGACAACATCTTTTATGAGAGTAATGAAGATTATTGCAAATCGTCTCAGAAGATTGGAGGTGGTGTGAGTGACCCGACTACTACACTATCCGAACTTTTTCCCCGACCCATTCCCATTCTTCAATACTGCGTACCGACTACTATACAAGCTTTAAGCTGATTTCTCTCCGCTTGGCGGATTGCTTCTCAGCGCCAGTCCCTTTGGAGGTAGTTTTGTCAGTGACGTTTTTCCCCCTTAAATGAATTGCAAGTAGGTGCAAGGTTGTCTTTCAGATTGTATTTCTTTGCAAACGTCTTCGAGGTGTTTGGTCAGGCATTCAAGCTCGGCGTATTTGGTATTGCTATCGCCCTTGGCTTCGTCAATGTGCCTGGCCCGGCGGGCACGCATACACAATCTGTGCTTTCCATCATTGCGAAGATGGATACACAGCGTATCCGGTATGCATGAATTGGAAAGTGTTTTCATTGTTAAATAGAAAGAATAAACAAATGTCCTTATATAGCAATATCGATGCTTGCCATTGCCATTGAGGAAAATTGATTTTGAACAATCAACAAGATGTAAGAACGGATTTAGGATTTCATTGGACTTTGAAACGAAGAAGGATATCCTAAAAAGTTGATAGAATTTGAAAGCAAAGATTTGATTACAAAAGACAAAGCAGTGCGATCAAATATAACTATAAAAGTTGATCGGATTTATCAATTCTTCAATGAGAACTAAGAAAAGATAAGTGATCATATTGGTTGAATATCTTAACTTGGACGCGATGACTTCAAAGTACACCTCTTACAATCAGTACCATTCCGAATTTGGTATTTATCAAAATTCCCCAATGAAAAGTAGTACTTCATCAATCCTTTGGCTTTGGGTTCCGCTTTATATGCCATATACCTGTGTCACCATCTGATTCATCATTCCGCATTCTTCATCTTATCTTAC